ATAATAATAACAATGATAATAATAATAATAGCAGTAATAAAAATAATAAATAGATAAATAAATAAAACAATTTTAATTAATAAAAATAATTTTATGCTCTGTTTACCCTGTGTTTTCACACCTTTTTCCACCTCCGTCTCCTACACCCACCACCATGTTATCTCTCCTTCTATCCTTTTCTCTTTACTTGGGCCTCCCTTTCCACGCCTTTCTCAAAAGCCCAGTGTCCTTGCGTCCTTTCATCTCCCGCGAGCCCTAAAAGCCCTCTGTTTACTTGCATTTTTATTGCATGTTTGCTGGATTACCTGTCTACCTGCTTGCAACCTTTGATGTCTGGTTCCCAAGCCTGTCCTTTTTTTGTAGTGTGGTTTCACGTCTCGCTGCGTTTTCTGTCAGTGTTTATATATATATATATATATATATATATATATATATATATATATATATATATATGTGTGTGTGTGTGTGTGTGTGTGTGTGTGTGTGTGTGTGTGTGTGTGTGTATGTGTGTGTGTGTGTGTGTGTGTTTGTGTGTGTGTGTGTATAATGTATATGTATATGTATATGTGTGTGTATATATATATATATATATATATATATATATATATATATATATATATATATATATATATATATATATATATATATATACACTTCTATATATATACATATATATACATACACACATATATACATGTGTTTGTGTGTCTATCCTACATGTACAGTTTCCAGTGCAGATCTGTCCAGCCCTCTTGCTCTGTGCTAACCACCTGCAATCTTCTGTAACTATCATTCAATCGCTTCCTCCACATTTTTCTTTGTTTCTGAATTCCGTTTTCCTATTCATCTGTCTTCTCTCTGTTCGTCTATCTCAGGAATTCACCATCAAATCACAATCAAGTCCTTATCAATTATCTGCTCAATCAAGTCACTATCATCACTACGCCGGTACACTGTTGATAAGAAATGAAAATGATCGAAAAGGATTATTTCGTTTATCATCGTTCAAGGCTCGAACGAATATGCGGAAGACAGAGGAAAAAAAAGAGAAAGAAATTGATGAATAAAAAAAAGGGAAGAAATGAATAACGAAACGAAAAGGAAAAGGAAAAAAAAAACGATAAATTGTCTCTAATACAGATAGCAAAATCTAAAAAAATGTAAAATAAGAGAGCTAGAAGAGAGAGAGAGAAAGAGAAAGAAGAAAAGGAGAGAGAGAGAGAGAAAGAAGAAAAGGAGAGAGAGAGAGAGAAAGAAGAAAAGGAGAGAGAGAGAGAGAAAGAAGAAAAGGAGAGAGAGAGAGAGAAAGAAGAAAAGGAGAGAGAGAGAGAGAAAGAAGAAAAGGAGAGAGAGAGAGAGAGAAAGGAGAAAAGGAGAGAGAGAAAGAGAGAAAGGAGAAAAGAGAGAGAGAGAGAGAGAGAGAGAGAGAGAGAAAGGAGAAAAGGAGAGAGAGAGAGAGAGAGAGGATAAAGCAAATTTAATAAATGGAGATGAAAGGAACAAAGAGAATAAGATAGGAGTCGGGGTCAAGATTCCGAAGGCGATAAGAAGCGAGAATATGAAAGCGGATGCGAATAAGCGAGAGAAGAACGGCCGAAGGAAGACGGTCTAAGGCGAAGATAAAAGAGAAGTATGAAAGCAATATGAAGAAAGGAGATCAGAAAAGGAAGCTGAGATGATATACATTTATCTATCTATCTATCTACATATATATATATTTGTGTATATATATATAATATATATATATATATATATATATATATATATATATATATATATATATATATATATATATATGTGTGTGTGTGTGTGTGTGTGTGTGTGTGTGTGTGTGTGTGTGTGTGTGTGTGTGAGAGAGAGAGAGAGAGAGAGAGAGAGAGAGAGAGAGAGAGAGAGAGAGAAAGAGAGGCAAGAGAGACAGACAGACAGAGGGAAATTGATAGAGAAAGCTAAACGAACGCTGAGCACCTAAACGAGGAACACAAAATTCCTCAAGACGTCGCCTATCCCCCACCCCACAACCCACACCACACACCCCACCCCTCACCCCCCCTCACACACACACACGCGAAAGTGCCAAACTCCCTCCGCGGTGCCTCCTTCATTCTCATGTTAATTAGCTCCGTAATATGATAATCTCGGGCTGTGGGATTCGGGAAGTGATTGTTAACACCAGCTATCATCATCCTCATCATCCTCATCATCCTCTCTAATGACATCGTGTTCCAGGTCCCCCGTTTTCGTCATCATCGCCGCTTTCATTAACAATTTTGGACATGATATGCATCTGGTGTTTTACTTTATCGCCGATCGCTTTGTCTTTATCGCGCGTTGCTCATTTTCTTTTATGTCACTATCGCCGTGTTTTTTTTTTCTTTCTTTCTTTCTTTTTTTTTTTTCTTTAGGGTGTCTGGGGGGGAGGTTGAGGGGGTGTGGGGGAGGAGGGAGGGGATGTGACCTTGTTTCTGCTAAAATGAGGGAGGGGGGAGGGGAGGGCATGGGGAGGGGGGGTGTATATAGTCTCGTCTTAGGCAAGAAGATTCTTTCCCTTGAACTTTTCGTTTAGCTGCTCGATAGCTTCTTCCCCTTTTTATCTCTGCTTATCGCTATTATCGGCATGTTCCCCCTACTTCCCCTTCCTCCTTCGTTTTCACCATCACCCGCTTTTCGTGTGGACTATCTCGATTCACGTGCCTTCCTTAACACGTCATTCCATTCATGCTTTATTCTCCACTGCTCTTTCCCTCTCTCTCTCCCTCCTTTATCATCCTCCCTTGGCCCGTTCGTAATCATAAACCGACAATAACAATATCACGCACCATCGCCGGCCGCGCTAGCATTACCTCGGTCATTCGAAACGATTGCTCAAAAACTGGCCGTGACGTTCACCTTCCCCATTAACGCTAAAGACACGGGTAATCATCCAACGCGCCCGTTGAGGTATCGTATTGAACGACGATACATCTACTCTGATGGCGCACTGCTATCAAACCAGCTATTGCCTAATCAACGTAATTTACAAGGTGCAACAACCCGAGGGCAATTAGAGGGGCGGCGCCCCCTCGCCTCTGATACACGTCATCAAAGAGGCTCGTCATTACACGCTACATCACGTGAAAAGAGGTAAAGCGTTTGTGCTGCCTCTGGAAAACTTGTCGCTTGCTTTTGTGACTGCCAAGCCCCGCCAGCTGATGCCGCTTTGTTTGTTAGGGTGTAAATTGGCTGTTCTGCTGCTTTTCAGAGGCTGTTATCGCTATATAAATAATACAGTTTTGAGATTACGCGGATCCCAATACCTTGCTTGTATCAGTATTAACTTCTCCCTCTTGTGCTAGATCAGTGTACCACGAAATTGCATTTCGAAATGTCTCTCCAAGTACTGTATCTACAAGTGGCTTAATTAACACAGTAGTATACCATTTGTACTATATGCTATGAAAGCCATTGTACCAGCCTTGAATGCACAATGAACAATACTGCACAAGATATACAACTATTATTACAGCTGCATTGGGTTTGCTGAAAAAAGATTCATAGTCCAAAACATCAAACAGCAATTCATAAAAGGGTATTACGCTCATAAAACCTGCGATATCATTCTTTTCATAACCGAGCAACGACAAGCTAAATCGTTTCATTAAAATGCTTACTGTGATTCATGTTGCCTTGAAGATAATACAGTGATGAGGTTTAAGGAGTTTATGAAGATTACCGTTATCTTACATGTTATCATTGTACATAAGCTGCAAGGCTATAATCACGCAATTACACACACACACACACACACACACACACACACAAATATATATATATATATGTATATATGTATATATATACACATATATATGTACATGTATGTATATACATATACTTATATGTATCTATATACATATATATGTATATATGTATATGTATATATATATATATATATATATATATATATATATATATATATATATATATATATACATATATATATATATATATATATATATATATATATATATATATATATATATATATATATATATATATGTATATATATATATATATATATACATATATATATATATATATATATATATATATATATATATATATATATATATATATATATATATATATGTATATATATATATATATATATGTATATATATAAATACATGTATATACATATATGTACATATGTATATACATGTATTTATATATATATACATATATATATATATATATATATATATATATATATATATATATATATATATATATATATATATAAATATATATATATTTATATATATATGTATATATATATATATATATATATATATATATATATGTACATATATGTATATATATGTACATATATGTATATATGTACATATATGTATATACATATGTATATATACGTGAGTATATGTATATATATATATATATATATATATATATATATATATATATATATATATATATATATATATATGTATGTATAAATATATATATATATATATATATATATATATATATATATATATATATATATATATATATATGTATATATATATATATATATATATATATATATATATATATATATATATATATATAATATATATATATATATATATATATATATATATATATATATATATATATATATATATATATATATAATATATATATATATATATATATATATATATATATATATATATATATATATATATATATATATATATATATATATATATATATATATATATATATATATATATATATGCATATATATATATATATATATATATATATATATATATATATATATATATATATATATATATATATATATATATATATATATATATATACATATATATATATATTGTAGAAGAAGAATGTAAATTATATACAAACTCTGAAATCCGGAATTCCACGAACTCGAAAATCAACCCTTACAGACACACGAGAAAACAGGAACCGAGAACCAAAAGCCCACCGACCTTAGCCAAAGCGACGTAGGGAAACTTCTCAAAGGACAGCCTGTACTCCTCTCCGCTCAGGCCTTCCTTCTGGCCCTTGAGGATCCTGCCAGCTGTCACCGTGGCCACGCCCATCCCGTCGCCCACGAACAGGATCACGTTCTTGGCGTAGCCGTTGGAGGCTCTGCGGGCGGCTAAGATGTCGTCCAACTGGCTCTTGGCTTGGGCGTACCAGTAGGCGCGGTCTGGGGGATGGAAGAGGCAAAATTGGAGGATAAAATGTCTAGAGGAATGAAGGAAAAAAAGGTGGTTTGTTAGGTGGTTTGTTAAAGAGATATTATGGCGTTGATGGTGATAGGTTTATAACTGCAGATTGATAGATTTAAAAATATTTACAGCATTACAGTTTTGTCAAGAGGAATGAAGGAAAAAAAAGGTGGTTTGCTAAGTGGTTTGTTAAAGAAATATTATGGCGTTGGTGATGATAGGTTTATAACTGCAGATCGATAGATTTAAATGTATTTACAGTGTGTATGTTAATTGTAGGCTTTGTAACAATAGTTTTGTACTATTTAAACAGTATACAAAGAGTGATAATTTTTAAAGGGCTAATCCAGGGTATTATGATTCTCAAATAAATAACAAATAGATTATTTATTTAATAAACCATTCTGTTCAAATCAAATCCCCATAATCAACACACACACACACACACACACACACACACACACACACACACACACACACACACACACACACACACACACACACACACACACACACACACACGAGACAACAAAACAACACCCTTACCCACTCCCACAATGACATAAAAATCCCCACGAATGACTATGTCAGAACCCCCACTCCCCCACCCCCACCCCCACTCCCCCCACTCCCCACCCCCACTTTACCGAGATCTCAGCAGGATCTCGCAACGATGGAAACACACGAGAGGAAAGTGACATGAGAGTGACAGATGCAGCAAAAGGAAGCACAGACGAGCCGAGGCAGAAAGCGTCACCTTCAATAAAAAGGTGTTTGCCATGGGAACGGTGCCCTTGAGAGTGTGCCTGTGGGGGTGTGGGGGTGTGGGGTGGGGAGGGGGGGGTAGGGGGTAGGCGGCCTGGGATAACAGGACGGGTGATTTTCTTTAAACTTTTTGTGGGGGTTAGATTTCTTGTCTCTCAGTGACATTAGAGATAACAATGGATGACTGGTTACGTATTTATCATGTATTTACCCTTCTTTCTTTTGGCAAATTCTTTTATTTAAACAGAAACATATAAGCTCACACACATACATGTTTATGTAAACACAAATACACACACACTGTATCTAAAAATGTACATCACTCTCTCTCTCTCTCTCTCTCTCTCTCTCTCTCTCTCTCTCTCTCTCTCTCTCTCTCTATATATATATATATATATATATATATATATATATATATATATATATATTTATTTATTTATTTATATATATATATATATATATATATATATATATATATATATATATATATATATATAAGTATAAATATATATGTGTGTGTGTGTATGTGTGTGTGTGTGTGTGTGTGTGTGTGTGTGTGTGTGTGTGTGTGTGTGTGTGTGTGTGTGTGTGTGTGTGTGTATGTGTGTGTGTGTGTGTGTGTGTGTGTGTGTGTGTGTGTGTGTGTGTGTGTGTGTGTGTGTGTGTGTGTGTGTGTGTGTGTGTGTGTGTGCGTGCGTGTATGCGTGAGTTCGTATTCAAGTGTAACCACATTATCAATTAAACGCAAATATTGAAACCGTACATCGCCCGCACAGAGAAACGCGGGTGCTCGTGTATAACGTTAAGCGGAATATCCTGTGAGAATTCATAATTACACATTGGATTGGTTACCTTTGCCTAATCTTTCGCTTGCACTTCCCTTCCTTTGTTCTCGTGGCCCTCTCCTTTCCCTTGTTTTCTCTCTCTTGTCCCTCTTACTGGCTTTGCTTCCGTTAAACGAATTTTCTCTTTTAATCTCGTTTACTCTCTCTCTCTCTCTCTCCCTTTCTCTCTTTCTCTCGCTTCCTTGTACTCTTGTATATCCCTTATGAGGATTATGTCTGTTCTGAAGCCTTTGTTTGATTCGATTCTTAATTGTGTATGTGTATGAGAGAGAGAGAGAGAGAGAGAGAGAGAGAGAGAGAGAGAGAGAGAGAGAGAGAGAGAGAGAGAGAGAGAGAGATGGAGGGAGGGAGGGAGGGAGGGAGAGAGGGAGAGAGGGAGAGGGAGACAGAGAGACAGACAGACGGACAGACAAACAGACAGAGACAGCAACAGAGAGAGAGGGGGGGGGGGGAGAGTGAGAGAGAGATAGGGTGGGGGGAGAGCAAAGAAACGTTGATTGAAACATTATTTATACATTGTTGACTTAAACTATCAGTACCTAATTCTATATACTTCCCATATTGCATATATCAATACTTTCAATACCAGCCGGTTTTGCGTCGAGTAAATTTCGTCCTCGAGGAAAAGTTTTCACGTTTAAGTG